TCTCCCATCATGATCAGCAGGGACCCTATCTCATGCTTGTCCATCAAAGAAAACCTGCGGCTGGGGATCAAGCTGGTCTCTGGTTTCATAAGAGGGTCCAGAAGGAAGGGTCTAAGCTTTCTTCCCAGAAGCCCTTGCTGCCCATTTGGACCAAGGGACCAAGGGACCAAGAGACAGGAACAGAATCCAGGAAGGAAAGGTCAGGGGAACACAACCAAGACTTCCTAAAGATCTCAGCAGAAAGCGCGAGAGCCCACTCCCACTCCAAGGCCCCCTCCCCACCCCCTCATGGAATTCCCAGACTGAGCAGGAGCCCTCGACTGCATCACAATGGGGCCCGGAAGCCTGGCTTGAAAGCCCGGAAGTCAGACTTGAGGGAGCCTTGGGAGCAGCAGGACTTGCCTGAAGCGGTGCCCTCTACTTCCTGGGATCCCCTTGCCTGACCCAACTCATCCCGCCCAGGCCACCTGACGGAGCCCCAGCCTTCAGGGACCTGCCCTCAAGTGCTGTCCCTCAGGGGTAATCCCTCAGGTGAGCCCTACCAAGACACAAGGGGTACCTGCTGGGCCTGCCTCCATTGGCCTTATTTCCCAAGGGGTTAGGCAGGGAGTTTCCAGGGAGCATCACCTGTGTGAGAAGGTAGCCCCCATCTGCACAGCCTTACTTACCCCAAGGACCTCGTCTCTGTAATAATTTGGAGATGGCTGCATCTGTCACCAGGGGAAACCAGGGCTGGGCTTTGACTTCGGAGCTGTTGTTACTCCTTTTCTTCTTCCAGCACAATGCTGTCTTGCATGGCCCCTTTTAGGCACACCTCTCTGGGCCCCTGGCTTGTCCTCAAACCCAGCAGCCAAACGTTTTGATGATATGTGTGGCTTTTTGTCATATCAAGTCCTTGAGAGGAGGCAGGGCTCCATAGTGAGGGGGTAACTCACTCCACCATGGGAATAAGAGCTGCACAGTGGCTGAAATCACAGGCATTCGTGAGTGGGGAGGGCCAGTGCTGAAGCCTGAGGGTCTGAAGACAAGGCTAAAAGGGCCACATGCGGGGGCAGGGATAGGATCCGGGGTGCCTGAGGCCCCTACCCCACTTCAGCTCAGTGGTGGGAGTTCATTCCATGGCGAGTGGCGATCCCGCCTTCACGGGAGCCACACCGAGGGAGACCCCAGATCTCCCTACACACAGCTGCGCCAAAGTGGGCTTTTTAAGATAAAGATGCTTTAAAGGACGAATCAGGTCACAAGAGTCAGGACCAGGCACCTCTCCACCCTCAAGCACTACTCACCCGTATCCTCCTTCCTACACTCTGCAGCTTCTCTCACATTGCCCCTTCCAGAATGGGAGGTTGAGTCCCTGCAGCGCCTCCCCGTGGATTCTGGGAGCTACTTTCCAGCTGCTGCTTTGGGCAGATGGACACAAAGTGAGAACAGAGCTAAAGAGTAGATGAGGAATTGCAGAGAGCAGCCGTGGTGACAAAGGACATACAGGCCACTTGGGCAAGTGACTAGGAATGGAAAGGAGTGTAAGAGCCTCCCCTGGGCAGGGGAAGGGGGTTCTCCATGGGATCAGTACTGAAGAGGCTTCCTGGGAGATGACAGAGGTCAGCGGAGAGGGTGGCCGCAGCAGGTGGTGGGGTGAGGACCCCCACGTGCACTCACACACAGTTCGCCACAGCAGCAATCAGGGCCACATGGGTCTGACTCAGCCCTGCCTTCTCTGAGCCTCTATGTCCCCATGAGCACATGGAAGATAGCAGTAGGGTGAGCCAGGGAGGCCCTGAGGCTCCTCGGAGGAGGCACAGTGCCAGGTTCCCCCTCTGACTACTGCCACAGGGGCTGTGCTACACCTGCTGACCAGCAGTGGGTCTAAATATCTCAGGAAGAGTCCTGGAACATGGTTTCAGCTGGGCTCAGAGTCCAGTCATTTGCAGCATTGGGTTTGGGGCTTCTAGATTTGCAAGGTGAAGTAGAGTTGTTTGTATGCAAATAGCCCCCCAGCTCCTTCACTGTGAACTCTGCCTATGAAGGTGATTGGGGTGTGATTTGCCCCTGGGAAACAAGGCAGTGCACTGAGGAGGAAGAGGGTGGGGGCAGGTGGTGCAGAGCAAAGAACAGGAAAGAGGGGGAAATGGGGTCGGGGGAGGGGGAAGGCAGAAGACAAAGGAAGGAAGGCAATCTGCTGTCACCCAGGAGCAAGGCCACCCCCCCACCCCACCCACCACCCACCCCCGGAGCGGCCCAGAGCCCATTACCATCTTTTGTTAGTTTTGCTAGTGGTTTGTCAATTTTATTGACCTCAAAGAACCAACTCCTTGTTTTGTTGATGGTTTCAATTGGTTTTTTGTTTTCTATCTCATTTATTTCTGCTCTAATTTTTATAATTTAAGGTTTTTTAGAGTGTGTCAGGTTTTCTTGCTGTTCTTTTTCAATTTGTTGGAGCTGTTGGGTTAGATAGTCAATGGTCATTTTTTCCTGCCTTTTGATGTGTTTGCTTATTGCTATAAATTGGCCTCTGATTACTGCTTTTGCTGTTTCCCAGAGGTTTTAGTAAGAGGAGTTTTCATTGTCATTTATTTCAAGAAACATTTTAATTTCATTTTTTATTTCTTCCACTCATGTTCAAGCAAGTTGTTGTTCAGCTTCCAAATGTATGGGTTTTTCCTCCTTTATCCTCTTGTTATTAATTTCTAATTGTGTGGCATTGTGGTCTAAGAAGATACTTTGTATAATTTCTATGTTTTTTTAATTTGTTGATGCTTGCCTTGTGACCTAGAATTTGATTTATTCTGGAGAACGTTCCATGCACAATGGAAAAGAAGGTATACTGTGCTTTTTGAGGGCGCATTAGGCTATAAATATCTATGAGATAGAGTTGGTTTATTGTGTGGTTTAATTCTTGAGTAAGTGCTCTGTTATATTCACACAATGGAATACTATGCAGCACTGGAAAAACAAGTAACTCATGAAATACTATGCTAAGTGGATGACCCTAGAGGACATTATGCTGAGTGAAATATCACAAGATATTTCACAAAAGTCACAAGAGGACAAATATTGCATAGGGCCACTATTGTAAAACAGGACTGACACTGGGGTTGAGGGAAGACAGAGAAGGGAATGATGTATACTGCACTGCAACAGATGAGGAAGAGAACTGTTTAAAAGGGATATATGATTGGGTATTATTATCATGACAGGAGTCCAGAATGAAGGCTGCACAGTGCAGTGGACTTAGGGGGAGGGATTGCATAGCAATGAAAGAGTTTTTCTTTTACTCAACAAGGAGAAATGTGAATTGGGGAGAGGGGATGGGCAGGAAGAAAAGTGCAGCTATGAATGACTGGAAACCCCAAGTCTCTGTAAACTTGAAGGAAGGAAGGAAGGAAGGAACGAAGGAAGGAAGGAAGGAAGGAAGGAAGGAAGGAAGGAAGA